TTTTTTATTTATTTATTTATTTATTTTTTTGAGTGAAAATTTGGTAATAGGTTTTGGTACTACTAACTTGAAGTACTAACTTGTAGTACTAACATTGTTGTGTCCAATCTATGAAGTTGTCAAGTGCTGTTTGCATTGTTGAGACTGTATTAGGTAGGACATTGTCTGAATAATACAGTGTTAAGTCGTCAGCGTACACCGAGAGGTGAACAGGATGGGTGTTAGGCAAATCGGCTAAGAATGCAGCAAAAAGGGTTGGGCTTAGTATGGAGCCTTGTGGGACACCCGTTTGTATTGGGATGCCCTCGGAAAACTCGCCTTGTATATAGACTTCAGAGGTCCTGTTCGTAAGATAGGACTGTAACCATTAAAAGTATTCTTCCCTGTACACCTAAACGCGCAAGCTTTGAGAGGAGGCAAGTATGAGGAATGCGATCAAAAGCTCCTTTGTGGTCTAGGTAGAGAACAATAGAAAATTTGCTGCTTCTGAGGGAGGTGCGGATTTCACGTTCAAGGCAGAGTATTTGATCGAGTGTGGAGCATTGCGGTCGAAATCCAGCTTGGAGTGACGGTTTAATATTATTATACTCAAGGCACCATTGGAGGCGAGTATGCACTAGTCTTTCCATGACTTTACTGAGGCATGATAGTAGGGAAATTGGTCTGTATGACGTAGGTTTTGATGGGTCTTTTCCTGGTTTAAGGAAAGGAAGAATAATACTGGTTTGCGATTGTGAGGGAATATTTCCGTAAATCCAGCATAGGTTGTAGTAGTTTAGAAGAATACTATGTGCAGTCCATGGAAGATATTAATGAGTTTTTATGGAATTCCAGACCTCTCCAGGTGCCTTGCCAAGAGGTAGGCAGGTTAAGGCTAATTGTAGCTTGCTTAAGGTGTACATGTTGTCGACGCCGAGCATGGGTAGCAGTATGGCACGTTCAATTTCTTGACTGAGGAGGACTTCTTGGGCATGAAGGAAGGGTGTTGAGAGGGTAACTTTAAGACATTCAGCGAGAACACTTGCACGCTCCTGAGGTGTTTGACAGAGTGAACCGTTGATCATCAGGGAAAACGAAGGGAATGATGGGCGACCTTTAATGCTGTTAAATGTAGCCCAGACTTTTGAATGTGGCATAGTGGGTGTGAGGCTATCACAAAATTTTGCCCATGATACTCGCTTTGCTGACAGTATGGTTTTTTGGGCTTCTGCTGTGGCCCCTGGAGATTAACCCAGTTCTGTAGGGAGGGTTGACGTCTTTGTTTTTGTATGGCTCGTCGGCGTAAAGCGGCTGTTCGTGCACATTCCGCGTTCCACCACGGTTTAGGTGGATTGTTGGACATATGTCCTGAAGTTTTCTTGAGCATTTAGGAAGCGGCAGAATTTATGGCAGAGTGATTGTGGACAGTCGCGTATTTGGGTCTACATCGTCTGTATCTGGGAGACAGAGAGCCCATTTTTTCTTATCTAGTTTCTTAATGTTCCACTTGGGGAGCGCTAGGGGGTGGGTTGGTGGCCGAAAGTTAGTAAATTTTATAATGAAGGGTTTGTGGTCACTTCCAATATCTGGTCCAGTATGAACCTGTAGTTCATGTTGAAAGTGTGCCGAGCCAAAGCAGATGTCCAGTGAGGCTTCATAAATGGTTCTGTAGGTAAAGTAGGTTGCAAGGTAGGGCGGCGAAAGAAGAATATATGGTGTAGTGTCTAAGTAGTTATATAGATCGGTGCCTGCAGTGTTCTGGGTACCTCTACTCCATGTGGGGTGGTTAGCATTGAGATCACCTATAACAATGATCGGTTGCCGTAGTTGGTTAAGATAGAATTCCAGTTGATTAAAATTTATTGTGCCACCAAGGTTGTATATACCCAGAAAGGATGTGTGTACCATTGTAAGGTATTAGGCATGCTAAAATTTCTAGTTTACCGTTCACAAAATGTGTAAGTGTTACAGGTTTACATGTCATATTACTCGGTGTTAGGAGGAAAATACCACCACCCATACGGTTTGGTCTGTCCAGTCTCTGCATCTTAAAGTTCTTTAAAGAGGATTTTGTTTGGGAGTGAGCCAGGATTCGGTTATTAAAGTTAAGTCCGGTTTGGATGAGCAAAGGAATTGTTTAAGTTCTGAGAGGGATGTTTTAATGTTTTTTGCGTTCCAAGTCATGAAGGTTAGGGGAGCCAATTAGGATGTGTGGGTTATGGATGTGTCTGTTTTTACTTGGTATGCCAATAATAGTACGTGTTTGGATACCTAGATGTGGGCTGAGTCTTATTCTTGGTACTGGCGGTTTGGGCTTGTGGCAAGTCAGCCTGGGGAATGATTTTGGTAAGGCGTGCTAAGGAGGTATTTATTAGTTTTTCCTTCATCTGTTCAAACAATGTGTGTCCAGCAATAGTAACTTTGTTTGGGCGGATGTCAGTGTCTGTAGCTGCTGATGGGATGTGTTTTGGGTCAGCCTCATGGGTGGGTTGTGTTACTTGTGTAAAGAATTTAGTTAAGTCGGTCCAGCGTCTTCTCTAGTGCATTTTCGATGAGTGTGACAAAAGTTTCAACAAGATCAGGACTCGGTTGTGCATTTTGTGAGAGATGGTTGGACCCTGGGGTTGTGGGAGTGTCGGTGACAGACATACCAGGTACACACAAAGGCTGTGTTTGAGTGTGAGGTAATGTTTGCTGATGGGCTGTGTTAGGTTGTTTCAGTGCACTACTGTATAGCAGGTTGTTGGCAGGGAGAACCTTAGTTTCTGCTGCTGCTGCTATGTATGAAGGACATTGTTTGAATGTAATGTCGTGGTCGCCACCACAGTTTGAGCAGGTAAGTGTATCTGATGTACAATCTTGCGTGTAATGGGAACCAAAGCATTTCCCACATTTAATGTCTTTGGTGCATCCTTTCCAGGTATGGTTAAAGCCTTTATTAAAACACTGAGTGGGACGTGGTATATACACCTCTAGTGTATGGAGGAAGCCGTTTAACCAAATCCTCTCAGGGGGGATGTAGTCTAGAAAGGTAAGCAGAGCAGTGCCTGTATCACTCGGTTCTCCGTTTGTTCTTCTCATATTTTTTTTTATTCCATGGATCGGGATGTCTTGTGTCTGAAGTTGTGCCTTGATGTCGTCTACACTGACGTCTACCACATGTCGGATTACATATTTTGTTAATCGGTCCCCTAGTGGTTTGTAGCACTAGACTTTATGGCCACAGATGTCAGTAATGTCTGAAAGCTTTAGTACTTCGCCATGTTTGTGGTCCACTGAGATCAGTTTTTTTCTGTTTATTAGGTCTCATATTGTGCACGTTGATCCCGAATATCTTGGGAATGGCATTATATAAGATACTTTGTGCCCGGCTATTTCTGAACACATTTTCCTCTTCGCCATTAAAGGCAATGATGAAAGTTTGGAAATCAGAAGAACTTGGCCTACCTTGGTTGAGCGGTGGATGTTGATACTGAGGCTGCGTGGTGCCGGCATGGTCTGTTTACTTCTGTAAGTTGACGGCGTTTCGCTTCCAATCTGTTCATCTTTCTGTGATGTTTGCTTTCTAGGAAATCTCCACCTAGATCCTCTTCTAAGACCGGGTGACGTTCATCATGTTAATGTGTGGTATGCAACAGTGGTTTCCCAGTACCCTCAAAGGTATAGTCAATGTTTGTAGGAGAGACGCTGCGTGAACCTCCACCAGTCGCCATGACGCTCCTCCGACCCAACCTGTCGGAGACAACAACCTGTCTTGTTCTCCCGGGGTCTCTCTACTTAATTCTGCTTAACGACTAAGTGAGCCGCCGCCGAAGAGGAACTGTGTGGTATCTGCTTTCTATCAGTGGAGTGGCAGTGAAAGGAGTCGGCGTATACCGGGACTGGCTAGGGGAAGTGACGACAGGCAGTAGAGTGCCTCTTTGAGGAGCGTTACTAGCCCGTCGCTAGAGACTCCTGCAAGGGATTCGCTACCTCTGTATTTGTCCGTGTACAGGTCCATCAGCGCGTAGCTGAAGTTATCTGCCAGCACTTGGCTGGAGAGTGATTGTGGTCATTCACAAGAGGCACCTAGTTATACTGTCGGTAGGCTGGCCCATGGCAAGGGTAGACTCGTTAGTGTTTCCCAGTACTGGTTGAGGATGGTACGGTGTGTTGAGGAAACACGGAAGTTGATAAAGGCTGCATCGCGTTAGCATCGAGGAGTGCTCAGTGTCCTACGTGAGAGCGACACATGTATATATCCATGTGTAGTAATATTATAGCATTTTATATTTTATATTTAAGGTGATGGGAAAGTGGTAATAAGTGAATATATTGGTAAAGGATAAAGTGTTCTGTTCATTTCAACTCCCCCCCCCCCCCTTTTTATTACTTGCATTACCTAGCCTACTCCTTAAAAGCCACTACCGACTTGGGTCGGATACTAGTACTTTGGTTCCACCATAGTGGCTGTAACAATGGTACACTTCACTGTGAACATAATGGTGCACTTTACTGTGAACATAATGGTACACTTTACCGTGGTGATAATGGTGCACTTCACCGTGGTGATAATGGTGCACTTCACCGTGGTGATAATGGTGCACTTCACCGTAGTGATAATGGTGCACTTCACCGTGGTGATAATGGTGCACTTCACCGTGGTGATAACGGTGCACTTCACCGTAGTGATAATGGTGCACTTCACCATAGTGATAATGGTGCACTTCACCGTAGTGATAATGGTGCACTTCACCGTAGTGATAATGGTGCACTTCCTCGTAGTGACAATGGTGTATAAAGAAGGTCGCATGTACAAGAAGACTGTATGGGATGATGGTCATGTAACAAGAAGACCCTCGCACATCTCAGGGACTCACTGTGTCGAAGATTGTGTGCTGTGAGCACTCTTACCATACCTGCAAGCTCCTGCCCCCCCCCCCCCGGGGGTCCCCTGATAACCTACCATACCTGCAGACTCCTGGGCCCTCGGGGTCTCCACAGAGCTAAGAGAGAGAGAGCATAAAGGTTGATATATTTACCTGGTTCAGGTTTGCCAAAATATCCAGGTTCGCAGAGTCTCTGTTTTCCTTAACGCGTCTGGCAATCACCTCATTCGTCCAAAAGTCAGTAATACCAGCATCATCCAGTCTCGAAACAAGGCGATTAAATCGTTCATAAAATGGAACACCTTTTCTGAAAATTTGTGAAAAATTAGGTTGACTGAATCTCTAGAAAATCTGAGTTTATAAATCATTAACCCAAAGTGTTCTGGCTCATGCAGCATGGAAGATTTACCTCTCAATCTCCCACAAATGTATTTTCAATGTATAGTTGGATTAACATACAATTTCTAATCAGAGAATTGATATAAGCAGTCAAAACGTCGTCAAAGTGAAAACTTCATAAAAGAATGTGTGATAAAAAGCAAAATCAGAATCCACACCTAAACTTTACATTCTCTGACACGAACAAATCCACAAGGGTCGTGACGAGGATTCGAACCTGCGTCCAAGAGCATCCCAGACGCTGCATTATTCAACTCAGCTACGACATGCAGCGTCTGGGATGCTCTCGGATGCAGGTTCGAATCCTCGTCACGACCCTTGTGGATATGTTCATTTGATGCATCACGCAACTGTGATTTCTGTGTGTAATTCTCCAACACTTTCAGTATTTTCACTGTGCCAGTACTTTCACTGTGCCAGTACTTTCACTGTGCCAGTACTTTCACTGTGCCAGTACTCTCACTGTGCCAGTACTCTCACTGTGCCAGTACTCTCACTGTGCCAGTACTCTCACTGTGCCAGTACTCTCACTGTGCCAGTACTTTCACTGTGCCAGTACTCTCACTGTGCCAGTACTCTCACTGTGCCAGTACTCTCACTGTGCCAGTACTCTCACTGTGCCAGTACTCTCACTGTGCCAGTACTCTCACTGTGCCAGTACTCTCACTGTGCCAGTACTTCTCACTGTGCCAGTACTCTCACTGTGCCAGTACTCTCACTGTGCCAGTACTCTCACTGTGCCAGTACTCTCACTGTGCCAGTACTCTCACTGTGCCAGTACTCTCACTGTGCCAGTACTCTCACTGTGCCAGTACTCTCACTGTGCCAGTACTCTCACTGTGCCAGTACTCTCACTGTGCCAGTACTCTCACTGTGCCAGTACTCTCACTGTGCCAGTACTCTCACTGTGCCAGTACTTTCACTGTGCCAGTACTCTCACTGTGCCAGTACTCTCACTGTGCCAGTACTCTCACTGTGCCAGTACTCTCACTGTGCCAGTACTCTCACTGTGCCAGTACTCTCACTGTGCCAGTACTCTCACTGTGCCAGTACTCTCACTGTGCCAGTACTCTCACTGTGCCAGTACTCTCACTGTGCCAGTACTCTCACTGTGCAGTATTTTCACTGTGCCAGTACTTTCACTGTGCCAGTACTTTCACTGTGCCAGTACTTTCACTGTGCCAGTACTCTCACTGTGCCAGTACTCTCACTGTGCCAGTACTCTCACTGTGCCAGTACTCTCACTGTGCCAGTACTTTCACTGTGCCAGTACTCTCACTGTGCCAGTACTCTCACTGTGCCAGTACTCTCACTGTGCCAGTACTCTCACTGTGCCAGTACTCTCACTGTGCCAGTACTCTCACTGTGCCAGTACTCTCACTGTGCCAGTACTTTCACTGTGCCAGTACTCTCACTGTGCCAGTACTCTCACTGTGCCAGTACTCTCACTGTGCCAGTACTTTCACTGTGCCAGTACTCTCACTGTGCCAGTACTTTCACTGTGCCAGTACTCTCACTGTGCCAGTACTCTCACTGTGCCAGTACTCTCACTGTGCCAGTACTCTCACTGTGCCAGTACTTTCACTGTGCCAGTACTTTCACTGTGCCAGTACTTTCACTGTGCCAGTACTCTCACTGTGTCAGTACTTTCACTGTGCCAGTACTCTCACTGTGCCAGTACTCTCACTGTGCCAGTACTCTCACTGTGCCAGTACTCTCACTGTGCCAGTACTCTCACTGTGCCAGTACTCTCACTGTGCCAGTACTCTCACTGTGCCAGTACTCTCACTGTGCCAGTACTCTCACTGTGCCAGTACTCTCACTGTGCCAGTACTCTCACTGTGCCAGTACTCTCACTGTGCCAGTACTTTCACTGTACCAGTACTCTCACTGTGCCAGTACTTTCACTGTGCCAGTACTCGCACTGTGCCAGTACTCTCACTGTGCCAGTACCCTCACTGTGCCAGTACTCTCACTGTGCCAGTACTTTCACTGTGCCAGTACTTTCACTGTGCCAGTACTCGCACTGTGCCAGTACTCTCACTGTGCCAGTACTTTCACTGTGCCAGTACTCTCACTGTGCCAGTACTCTCACTGTGCCAGTACTCTCACTGTGCCAGTACTTTCACCGTGCCAGTACTCTCACTGTGCCAGTACTTTCACTGAGCCAGTACTCTCACTGTGCCAGTACTTTAACTGTGCCAGTACTCTCACCATGCCAGTACTCTCACCGTGCCAGTACTCTCACCGTGACAGTACTCTCACTACACTTCGCGACACTGCCAAAGGGACCTGAGTATCGACAGAGAAGTGTTGGCGTGGTGTCTCAGAGTGCTGTTGAATAGTGGGGAATCACATTGTTTTTCTACTGGCCGCCGGCTCACCACTTTCACTCCCAGTACACAAACTTTTTTATTTTTTTACTGGGGGGGGGGGAGCACAAGAGCAGCATTATATATTGAGACCCAGCATGGCTATGTGTAATAAATTATATACTCACTGTGAATTATATTCCTCTATATACTATTGACACATGATATACATGTATATGGTTGGAATCTATTAAATTAAATTATATACTCACATTATTAGGAAAAATTAAGAGAAATGCAAAGAAACATTTTGCCTGAAATTATAACAAGACAGTTGTGAAATGCTGCAGTAATGGAGGACTGCTGGGCCAGGCTGGTCTGGCTCTCACTCTCGTAAACATAAATGATTCTTTGGCCTTTGCTGTGTGTAAGTAGCAGTATGAAACAAGAAACAGATAAACAAATAATAAACTTTACTATATAAATATTAATTATGTCCTGCAAACTCTCGGCTGTTATAACAAAACAAACGAAACAAGTAAATGAAAATCTTGGGGGCATATTACGGAAAAATGTGATAAATGAAAAATGATTCGATTTCAATCAAACTGTTTTTGACTAATTGTATATGAAAGTTGGTTCAACTGGCCCAACTCTCAACAATGTAGCATAAATAGGAAGGGAGAAAAAAATATTGAATTGTGTCAAAAAAGAATCCAAAATGGTCAAATATTAACATCAAAGAAAAGTGTCAACTGAAATCATGTCTACGACTCTAAGCTATCACAATAGCATATAATAAAGTATTTTAATAATATTCAGTTTTATGCACAAAAAAAAAATATTAGAATTTTTTCTTATTTTTTTACATAATTTTTATCAGCCGATTTGCTTGAAACTTTTTCACCTTACAGAATGTAGGCCTATCTGTAAAGATGCAAATTTTGGAGGAAATTAGTTGAAGTCAACTTCAACCACAGGTGGCAGAGTGATCTCATTTATTTTCAAGTAACATAAAATTGCATCTCCTCTTTCATTTTTTTTCCATTTATATGAAATTTACACTTTACATGTAGAGATAACGTCTCTAACACATTTATAAAACACGTTATTCATAAGTTCCTTTATGGATTTTATAAATATTTGCAAACATGAAATATAGGCATGTATTTTTGGGGGGAACTTTGACTACTTGTATTAGTAAAACTAAACATATTTTGCATAATCCTTTTCATAACAATCCTAAATTATATGCTAATATGATATATGAGTGTCGTTGAAATGATGTCATTTGAAACATGTGGTTGTAGTTTATTATTAAAAACGTGTAAAATTCGTTGGAAAAATATATATATATCTCCCACTCTATATAGGGCGCGATACTGAAACGTAGAACAGTTGCAACCCTTCTTATATACAACTAGTAAAAAAAGTTTGGTTGACATTAAACAACATTTAAAAAAAAGAAATACGGCCCCTTAATTAATGTAATACTAGTACAATAGTATACTAGTGAGCTGAAGACATCTTCAGTTCCACCACAGTATCTGAGGCAGAACGTTGGCTGGCAGCGAACGGCGGGTGAAGGAAGCAATGATGACCCCAAGAGCACCAGTGAGAGACTGGCTTCCATGGTTGTTGTTGTTATAGATTCAGCTACTTGGAACAAACCGTTCCAAGTAGCACGGGCTATGGTGAGCCCGTAGTGGACTTGGCTTCCATGGGTTGCAGGGCTCTATTTATACCGCAGCTGGTGATAACGTCACGTGTTTTGTCAGGTGAGCAGAAACAAACGACTGGTGGTAACTGCCCTGGAAACACAAACCGAAACTGTCTCTATTTTCCGCTTGTTACAACTTGTAATAACGTTGTTACATCCTGGCTTAACGTGTTTATGACGTATTAGAACGTTGTTACAACTTGCTATATTGGTTGTTATAACTGGTTAGGAGGTGTTAAAACTTGTACGAACGTTGTACTAATGTCGTAGTTTCGGTGTGTGTTTGGCGGGTGCAAGTTTGCGGCTGCACCACAGCTGGGTAGAGGCTGTGTAACTGCCAGTTAGAGGCGGCAACTGCTTGTTTAGGAGGCATCTGCCTGCCGGTGAGCCGCACCAGGCACTGGGTTATCCTGAGGTTATCTTGAGATGATTTCGTGGCTTTTTAGTGTCCCCGCGGCCCGGTCCTCGACCAGGCCTCCACTTCCAGAAAGCAGCCCGTGACAGCTGACTAACACCCAGGTACCTATTTTACTGCTAGTTAACAGGGGCATAGGGTGAATGAAACTCTGTCCATTGTTTCTCGCCGGCGCCCGGGATCGAACCCGGGACCACATGATCATAAGTCCAGTGTGTTGTCCGCTCGGCCGACCGGCTCCTCCGGGTGGTGGAGCCTGTGGCAGGTCGAATGACTCATCATGCCTGTCATAGAGGCGAACCTCCAGTGTGATGACACAGTAGATGAGTGGAAGAGGTTGCTATTTAAATTCCTGCTATGCAAGAAATTTACGTGACACAATAAACAATATTTTTTAAACAGTTTTAATTTACTGAGAAGGCTGTGCTTGTTCGTTAGTAGTTGATTCCAATTTGAAAGAC